TTTCAAAATTTATCTGAATCTTAAAAAATTAGTGAAAAATCACGTTCATAGGGAGCCCCCCCCTCGATTATAGCTAGTGTCGATCCACCTTTATTATGTAAAAAAAAAGTTACAGAACCGGATGGACCTAAGCTTTATTCGTATAGTTTAGTCGATCCACCTTTATTATGTTAAAAAAAGTTACAGAACGAGATGGAAACCTAAGCTTTATTCCTATAGTTTATTATGCATTTATGCTAGACCCAATTTGTGGAATATTGGGTGCAATATTTGTGCACGAGACAATTTCTGCTGAACATAGCTTATGATGAGCTCACGAATTAACCAGCTTTTATGTTACATGTTCTCAAATCAATTATTCATTTCGAGGATGTTGGATCTGATATTTACCAACTGAGATAAAAATAAAGAGATACAGTACTTCATTTGGCCAAAAAAAGAAGAAGCATAGGGGTTGTTTGATCCTCTATCATAATTTGTCATAATTATAGTCTTAGACAAGTGTGGCTACAAAGTTTGAAACCATACTTTGCCATCCCTATACCATGTGCCAAGTGAGTAGAGTCCCTAAAAATAACTCCAAACCATATCAGGGGCTGAGAGAAAGAAAAAAACATCCTTGCCCAACCACCCTTTCCACAAGTGAAACCCAGGCCAGAGGCCAGAGCCGCGTCCAGTAGTTGGGCAGTTGAGCCGCGCGCGCATTTCGACTCTGTTCTCTGCCGACAGCAGTACCTCTGCCTCTTGGACCGCCCCAACATGCTCCACTCTGATTTTAAGACTTATAATCTCATGTATTTATACTGAAACAATCCCCAAATTCATTTTGTGAAAGCATTATTCAGACGAAGTTTGCGGATGTGGTTAAGAAGATACAAGCAGAAACGTCTTTCCGTTTCCAAGGAACAAAGGTAGCAGCACTATGTATACTTATGGTGTGATTTGAGCAAATGGCTCTGGATGTTTCGACAATGGCTAATACTGGATATTAGTTCTGTTTGTCGACGCATCTGGGCATGTGGCTCCACCCACCGAAAACACTTCCATTAATATAAATTGGGACAGTTTCACTTCAGTTCAACCATGGAAATGAAATTGTGCCTTTCGGTTCAACAAATTTCTCTGTGCACTGGATGACATTTAATTGTCTCAAGGTACATACCATCCGTTACTAACATAACATCAACTGGAAATTATGCAGGGGACAGATACATAATTCCAAAGCCAGAAGTCAGAGTCGTTAGTCGCGCAAAGGAAGACGACTGCCTGATTCTAGCGAGCGATGGGCTGTGGGATGCCATCTCGAATGAGGACGCATGCAAAGCTGCTCGCCTAAAAGATCCTTCGGTGGCACGAGAAAATGACGCCACGTATTTCGGTGGAGATGGGATGTCATCTCAAATAAGCGACCCTGCTTCACAAGCAGCCGCGGCATATCTGGTGAGGCTAGCTTTGAGGAAAGGGAGCAAGGACAATATCACTGTCATTGTGATCGACCTGAAACGGCGGAAGATGGTCAAAGATAAAACAGCGGAAGATGGTCAAAGATATTCGTCCGAATTTTGAGCATGAAAAAGTCAAACGAGAGATTTTGACTATTAATTTATCTTACTATATATATATTTATCATTTGAATTCGAATTTATTGGTTCAAGTTGTATATATATGTTCGAAACTTGTATATAAAATTTATAAACATTGACTTTTTTCTATTTAAAATATGATTGTTATTCCGGGACGGAGGAGTAAATTCTAATTATGCTTGATTTTGTTTGAACTAGAAACTAGACACGCGAATCGATAATAGCTCAGCTGGTTAAGTTTCTTGTGGTGGAACCTGTCCACCCGGGTTAAAACTAGGCACGACATTACCTCTCTCCATTGTTGGATCCAGCCCATGCACATCCATTAGAGCAAACCAATCCACATATCTCTTGTGCTTGGACTAGTTTAGTCTGAACTCAAGAAAAGCATAAAGAGTAACCAGACGAGAAAGAGTTTCACTGAACTACTTATGGATATAAAATTGAGGAAGCAATGACAGGAGGGTTGTGGCGTTGATTTATGTCAATATTTTGGTATTTAATGGTTCTTCAATTTAATAGACTAGGTAATTCAGGTAGTTATGACTACGCGTGTATAGTAAAAATAGTAAAAACTAAGAGAAATAATTCAATATATTCACATTTGTATTTCTTGTCTTCCGTTAGGTAGCTAATAGCAAAGATATTGCACATCTTAACAGATTAGATCTACATTTTCGTTTGGAAGATAAGATGGACAAGTTTACATAGCTGATTGGTATAGAGCTTCCATTGACAGTGCTGCGTATGGGATCGCAAAATCACAAATATGAAACATACTCCCTCCATACCTAAATATCTATCGTCGTTGGTGTGCATGCCACAAGTTTGACTCGATTTATAGAAAATGCATGCAGCATTTGTATCTTGAAATAAATTTATTAAAAAATTAGATTCAAAGATCTTTCCAATGATACTAATTATGTACCATAGATATTAATATTTTTTAATATATATCAGTCAAAGTTGTTTCTCGGGAAGCGAAAACAACAGATATTAGGGAAGCGAAAACAACAGATATTTAGGGATGGAGGTAGTACAACATTTTTAGGCTATTGAGCATTTGAATTGTATTGGTACAGTTTTAGCTCACGATTGGCTTTTAATTTTCAGCAAAAGAATATAATGATTAATATAGACAGATAGATGTTCTGAAATGTAATTCCAATGACGTCCACGCGACCGATCGACCAGCCTACTGCCCGCTCCTGCCACTTCTAACCCTCCCTTCCTAGTACTTTGCCCCCCCTGTCAATCCTGCCCACCGGTTGTCTTCCATTGCCCGACCGGAGGTAGCGCTGCTACCTTACCACACCACCCGTCGATCCACCACCTCTGCCAGGCCATCTGCCGACCCGGGCTATCCCTTTAGGGCTAGAGGATATTGGAGAGCTCAATGCCCAATGCCCAATTTGAACCCTAACCCTCTCTGCCCTGCTGGCATCGGCCTCAACCGCCACTCGCGGTAAGCACACCGCCACATTGCTTAGCCCACACCCTGCCCGCCCTCATGACCACCGTCTTCCCATAACCTTGCGGGGTTGCACGCGAAAGGCAACAATGTGCCTTGCTCGCCCATCGAAGAAGATGAGTCTCGCTCCACTCACTTCTTGGCGTGTGTCCGCACATCACTTCATCATGCCTACGCATGCGCACCGAATAAGGATTTGACGTGTATCATCTCCCTGCGGAATATTCACGAGGCATAAATACACTAGAGGGAAAGGGGCTTCATGGCGATACCAGAGATAGTTCTCGACAAATCTTCTTGACCGTGCTGAGATATCAGGGAAGGCAAGCCACCGCAAGGGGAGAGCTCGCAGGATCTAAACGCTGTGGTGGCTGGGGGTGGGAATTAGTAGAACTGAGACGATGCATGTCGAGCGAGGTGGGCATACAAGGCCGTCTGAGCTGCTGGAATGGGAGGTGACAGTGGAAAGTGCCAATTTTTATTGGCCCATTTGGATTAAGGAAACTTTGTGTTAATTTGGATTAGTCAAAATTAGCTCTAGTGTATCAAAACAGAAGAGTTGTAGCCAAATTTTTAACTAGTTGTTAGCTAACTATAACTAATTTGGACTAATTTTTAGTCCCAACTGATAACCATATATCAAGCATGCTCTTAGTATGTCTGCCTTCAAAATGCAATGGAAAAAACGGGGAGCAAACTTTTTAAGGAACTGCTGCGGAACGTTGCTATTTGATAGGCTAATTATTTTGAAGAGCCAAAAGTTTTACATATGGGGCTGCTCTACTATAATCCTCTCCTTAGGGCGTCCGTACAGACGAACGCGAATTCCCTACTCCTGTCCGCGCCCCTTCCGCCCAATATGCTTGCTCCCCGATGCTCCCCTCTGGCTTCTCCATAAAAAAAATAGGATGCCGATTTCTCATTCCGGTGCTATTGCTCGTGATCTCCCTGGCCTTGCTCTCCTTCCCTGCACCTGCTCCTCTCCCACCTCTGCCTCGGCTCCGTGCCGCTGCCGCCTCCCACTCTCGCCATCCCTCCTCCTTCCCTGCCGCTGACGGAGGAGAAGCAACATCAGCAGTAGGCTCTCGAGGTCGCACGCCCGCCGGCCGCCTCCTCTTCTCTAGCACGCCGCAGGGCCGCCTCGCCACGGGGACCGCGCCTACCCGTCCTGTGGCCGAGAGCGGCGCCAGCAGTCGCTCGTCAGGGCTGTGCCTAGCTGCCCCCCCATTGGCATCCCTCTCCCGCGCGACTCCGCAGCATCAAGCTCCGAGCCGACGTCGAGCTCCACTTCGACGAGCCTCTATTCATCTAAGCAGCAAGTAGATGTTGTGCTTAAAAACACATTCTGCAAGTGTATATTTCAAATATTTCAGAGTGACGTTCTCCGGACAACTTTGTAAGGAGTTCTCGGCCAAAACTCAGATACCAAGGAAGAAGAATAAACCACGCATGTAGTTCGTCCATCGATACCAGTACCATAGAATCACATACTTTTCATTCAATGCATGTATGCAGCCACCGGGCGCGGGGAGCTGCTTCCGGAAGGGCCTAGGCCAGACATCCGGGCGACCGCATTGCTCTTTATTGGTCGGTGAAAAAATCTCGTACTTCCACGAAGTTCAAATCTCCTACAGCGACAGATCCTTGTCCATAGGCGGCTGCCCGGCCCGTCATTGATTCATACACCGTGGACTTCGCAGTGGTGGCCTCATCGTAAAAACGCCGCCAAAGCCCACCAAGCCCAAAACATAATAATGCGCACCAAAAACCCCAAAGCCCTCTCCCAGTCGCCCCCCGCCCTTCCCCATTCTCTCTTCTCCCTGCCGGCCGGCGGCAGCCTGAGGAATCAACCCTAATCTGCACGGCGACCCTAACCTCATCGCCTCATCTTCCTGCTCCAGCTCCTCGGAGGTCCAGCAGGCACTAGCCCCTCTTTCTTCTCAGCCATGGCGTCGGAGGACGAAGCGAACGCCGCGGCGGCGGTGGCGGAGGATGCCGAGGCGGCAGAGGGAAGGAACTGGCGGCGGAAGGGGAAGCACGACAAGCCCAAGCCCTGGGACGAGGACCCCAACATCGACCGCTGGAAGATCGAGAAGTTCGACCCTGCCTGGAACGAGGGCGGCATGCTCGAAGTCAGCTCCTTCTCCACCCTCTTTCCCCAGTACCGAGGCAAGCATATGTTCCTGAGCCCCCGTCCTGCCTACCGCGATTTTCGCGATGGAACGCATGCGATTTGAGTTTATTGGAGGCGAATTCGTGAGGTGTTATTTGTTGGTTTGGGTGCAGAGAAGTACCTGCAGGAGGCGTGGCCGCTCGTGAAGGGCGCATTGAAGGAGCACGGGATCTCGTGCGAGCTCAATTTGGTACATTGTGATGGAATTATCAGCCTTTTTTAAAAAATTGCTATTGGGTGGTGAGATTATTATGTGGTAACCAAATGTGTCTGAAGCCTCTCTTGCTGTGTGTGTAGGTGGAGGGATCCATGACTGTGTCGACCACCAGGAAGACAAGGGACCCCTTCATTATTATCAAGGCCAGGGAACTGATTAAGCTATTGTCCAGGAGCGTCCCTGCGCCTCAGGTATGACGTATGATCCCTTGTGTATTCAGGTATCAAGGTACTATGCGGATCTTGTTTTTGCACTTCGAGGTGGCAGCTTCGTGATCTGAGTGGAATTGAGATTAATCTGCAGTTTTTTCAAGGTCTTACTACTACTTATTTTTGCAGGCAATCAAAATTCTTGATGATGAGATGAACTGTGATATTATTAAGATTGGTGGTCTTGTGAGAAATAAGGTAGGACACCTTTTCATTGCAAGTTTGATTTCAGATCTCTTTTGAAGATTAGACTTAAATTTACTCAACATCATGAGGTGCTTCTCTGCGTGCTATGATATATTCCTTGCTGCAAAGACCATTCTTGTAATTTGTATAATTCGAAAGGGAAAATAATGGACCTGAAAACGTTTTGGGCCATCATTTGTTATTTTCCAAGGTCTTGTTCAAATTTGAAGTGGTATTTTTTTTTTCATTTCATTTTGTAATGACAGTACTAAGTTGGTAATATATTGGTTATCCTTTCTCCCGACTGCTGAGAGTCATGTTTGGTTATACTATAGTTCTATAATTTTCCCTGTTTGCTAGGCCCAGGGTTCTTTATCCCATCCGTAGCTGGATTTTCTAGTTCTACATAAACATATAGTCACAAACCTTTCTATAATATAGTTATATAGTTATCTGCACGATACTCATAGTTATATAGTTATCTGCACGATACTCTGTTGGCTGTTGCTTTCATATGTCTGTAGACATTGATTTGGCAGCCTACATCCCATGTTTTTCTTGTTGGTATTATTCTAGTCTTTATGCTAAGTTATTGACTTATTGTGCTGTTACTTATATCAAAGTTTGTAACAGGAGTGACCAACTGACCATATGAAAATATGCTAAATGTATGTAATTAGAGATTTAGTGCCCTTCCTCACTGTTTGAACTTTACTCATCCTCCAATCTATTTATAATGCTATCTGCAGGAACGCTTTGTTAAAAGGAGGGAACGGCTTTTAGGCCCTAACTTGTCTACACTCAAGGTAAAAACTGTTCTTATTCCTATGGGTGCCTCCTTTAGTGCCGTAAACTCAGAATAATCATAGATCCCTTTGTTGCTTACACATTATTTCATGTTCTACAGGCTATTGAGATTTTGACTGGCTGCTACATCTTAGTGCAGGTTTTCATAATTTCTTACCTTTATATGTACATTTTAGATTTTCTCCCTTTGACACCATTTATTATTGCTGTTGTCTTTCCCAATGAAAGGGAAATACTGTTGCAGCCATGGGCAACTATAGGGGAAGGGGACTGAAACAAGTGAGAAGGATTGTAGAGGATTGCATAAAGAATGTAAAGCATCCAGTGTACCACATCAAGGTGATTGGTTTCACCCTTCCTTGATGTTATTTTGAAGGGATGTTCACAAGAAATGGATTATTGGGTGCTTATTGTTATTGTTTAACTATATAGGAACTACTAATCAAACGTGAGCTAGCAAAAAATCCTGCTCTAGCCACCGAAAACTGGGATAGATTTCTCCCAAAGTTCAAGAAGTAAGGACATGCATCATATTTCTTTTAGAGCTTCAGCATCAAGTATATTGTGTTCATCTGATTATCACCCCTTTTTTATTTTTCAGGAAGAATGTCAAGCAGAAGAAGCCTCAAACTAAGGAGAAGAAACCGTACACACCCTTTCCACCGCCTCAACAGCCTAGCAAGGTAAGGTTAAAATTATCTTTCATCTGCATCTTATTGTTACTTAAGCCAGTTAGTGATGATTGGTGGTAACCAATCCTGCCCTGTAACTTAAGCTTATGTTAGCTGTCCATGCACACGAATAATTCATTCATAATTTTTTTTGTTGTATAAGATCAGTGCTCTTTCTAGTATGCTACTTGAATTTGGAGTGAGCCACTTAATTGTCTTTGTTTGCATGGGTGTAGTAGTTGAAGGTGCTTATATTGTTTGATATTCTCCTTTTGCATATTGTGCTCTGGATTGATTTATCATTCTGTATTTTGTAGATTGATCTTGAACTTGAGAATGGTGAGTATTTCATGAGTGACAAAAAGAAATCAGCAAAGAAATGGCAAGAGAAGCTGGAGAAGCAATCTGGGAGAGCTGAAGAAAACAAAAGAAAGAGAGAGGCTGCATTTGTTCCTCCAAAGGTTAGAATATCTTCCCTTTTTAAGTATTGTTGCGATTTTCCTTCTCTTGCATTCATCATGATTAAAACATTCTTTGTTATTTGTTGCAGGAGAACACTGCAGGTCCATCTGAATCTGACAAGAATGCCAGTGACAACAGTGAGATAGCTGATATAGCAAAGTCATTAAAGGTAACTTGCTGTTGTTTTGTGCTTTATTATACCAATGGCTTTATTGATAACTTGTTCAGGAGTATTGGGAATTTTCAATTAACACGGCCACTTATCATCCTAAATTTATTATCTATTTGCAGAAAAAGGCAAAGGAGTTTAGAAAGAACGAGGCCCAGGAGAGTGTCATAGCTGAATCATATCTCGCAAGTAATGATGAATCGCGGCAAAAAAAGAAAAAGAAATCAACTAAGTCCAAGTAGCCATAATCCTAGTGCATAATGACAATGGCAATTGAGAAAGGATTACTTGAGCCATCCCTATAATTATGTCATTCATGCTATTATCGTATTAGAGTGCTAGAGCTGCAATTGAAGATGATGAAACAAAATTCGAACCTTCTGCTGGTCTGTTGTTGCAATAGTTCATATGCAATAGGCTTTTCATGGGTAACTTTCATAAGGAACAGAAAGAGCCCTCAAGTCCATCATTCTCAAAAAAAAAAAGGACGTACCCAGTGCAGAGAGCTTCCGCTCTGTGCGGGGTCTGGGAAAGGGTATTAGTGGCCTGGCTAAGGCAACAAGCCTGGCTGGTCTAGGCCTGTTGTATCATATGTAGGCCCCTGCAATTGGTGAAATCGGTCGTGCATTCTTGGTTTTAGTCTTGGTTTTTGCAAAATTTTAACTGAATTTGCTGTTAAAAAAGTCAACCAGCCAAAACAGATTTGGTTAAATAGGCTAAATGCAATACGTATTATCTTTAGTAGAAAGACGTATATTTCTTGCTCATTATCAGACAATCACTTATTCCCAAACCTCGTGTGGGGCTAATCGTTTTTATTTGCCATCTCATGGAAAATCCTTTTCGTTACTTTTGTAGGATATAATGCAACAACACATTTTCTTAAAAGAAAACATCCAACAAGAAATGCATCAAGCAATAAAAGAAAAGAAAAAAAAGGCAACAAAGAATGCTTCTAACAAATGAAGTCTCATAGGGATACAGTTAAATATACAAATGGACATAATTGTATTAGTGTTAATACAATGTCACAAAGAAATTTGGTTAAATCAGTTAATGTCATCTAAAAACCTAATAAATCATAGATCATTGAGTAACGCTAAAGTGTTCATTGAATATATCAAGAAAATTTCGGTTAATCAACCTTTTGGGTAAAATTGGTTTGTTTTGGTTCGGTTAATTGGTTTCGGTGAAATTGTCCTTTAATCCTATGTAACATGGGCTTGTTTGTTTGGCTACACTTGTGTTTTTTGTGTGCATGCAGTAAGGTTGTGTTTGGCTGGGTGCACAAGTTCTAAGTTGCATGGGGCTAGGCTAGGATTGTTGCCCTAGGCCTAATGTGGTCACCAATCTCCTCCATAGGTGACCTCTGCTCTACTTGACCACCTCCATATAGAAGAAGATGGTGCCGGGTGGTAGGGTTTTGATCTGCATTTCTCACCAGCCCTCCCTCTTCCCCTTGAGCTTCTCTTTGTGCGGTATCGATCTCGCCGCTCCACCTTCCATGTGCCTTCTTACCCAATGAGTGGCCTTCTTGCCCAGGAGACCCCATTCTCGTAGCCCTTCATCTAGGAGCCGGAGGCCCATCATTGGTCAGTAGCGGTCACCCGAGAGACCCGCAACAAATCTCTTGGAGGGATCTCTGACGGTAGTGGCAACAACAACGGAGAGAACAACTTTGACTGTGACCTTTGCAGGTCTGAGGTTTTCAATCGACCTCACCCCCAAACCTTCCTCATGTAAGGCTATCTCCAACGAGAAAGACCCAAATCAAAGACCCGTACCAGGATTTAGGTGACGCATAGTGAAAGGGTACCGCAACCACAGCCTCTCCTCTCCAACAGCAAACGCAAAAAATCTCCCTCTCCTCCGGTGCCGCAGTCCGACCGAGCTGTTTGGGATGGGGATAGAAGATTCTATACCACTCCTTTGTTTCGATGGACTAGTTTGCCATCTCCTTGCTTTCCCAAGCTGTTGGTGGCTTGGTGCTTTGGTGGTGGAGCATGCGGATGGAGGCCAGGATGCAACCAGCAGCAAGCCTGATTGCCGCAGTCTGTCCTGGAGCTCCCTTGACTCCACGGCGCCCACAGGACGGGAGGGAGAAGCAGCTGCCGTGACGAACTGGATCTCAGTTCGCCGCACCGCAAAGCAGCCACGGAAGGACGCGAGGTGCAGCTAATCCGCCGGATCTCCTGCGATGCTGGGCCGGCCCAGGCGCACCTCGCTGCAGGAGTGGGCGGCGCGGCGGAGGAGACGGAGAAGCGGAGGCGGCGACTTCGCGGCGCCGTGCGATTCGACACCCGCACGCCTTCGGCTAGGGGGAGTGCCTAGCCGAGATGCAGGTCGCCGTCGCCAGCTGCTGGGACCGGTGGAGCCGGCCGGGCGGCGTTCCTTGCGGGGGAGCAGGACGGGATCCTGGCCGACGCGAGCGAGCGCGGACGAGCGGGGCCGGCGGCGCGGCCTGTGCAGGAGCGAGCCACCTCGGACGCGAGCGGTGCCGACGCGAGCGAGCGCGGACGATTTGCCTAGGAGGAGGGAGGCGATGCTTTTTTGCATATCGATCGGTGCGGCAGGCAAAATGGGTCACGGGTTTGGGTGAGCAGTTGGAGGATGTTTTCAGCTACGCAAAGCACTGTTGGGGACGTATTTTGGGTCTACGTCTCGACGTTGGAGACAGTCTTGAAATGACTAAGAATCCGTTGAAAACCCCTACAAATTACATATCTAGAAGAAACAAACAATGCTAGGCCAGGATATACGAGGATCTAGAACCACATAATCACAAGCATAGAGTAGTAATATGCGTCCACAACACTAATGCTGTCCTCTAAGTCGCTTTAACTCCTTTCTAGTCTCTGTCATCAACATAAACTAGTTATAATAGATAATGAGTGTATCTACTATCAAATAAACACAAAAAAGAAACCATATAAGGTTCAAATAATTTCAAGCAAGAAACCTTAAGACAGAGCATGATTTTAGAAAAAAAAAACTTTTGAAAATTTATTTCTATAATTTTTTTATAAAGTCTATACGTCTCCGAACTATAAACGCGGTCTAATTTACACGCCATGTCCGCACATACGATATGATGTCTCATCAGTCAAAACCGTTGTCAAACCTGCAAGGTGTGTAAAATCGGACAGTTTTAAAAAAGATAGGGGAGAAAACAATATGACTTTTAGATTGGCGGGGAAATCGGATTTTGGGAAAAATTGGGAGGTCACCCAACCAAACCTAATCATTGCCCTGTTCGCTTGGTTGATAAGCCATGGCTGAAAGTATTGTTGGCTGATTTATTGTGAGAGAAAAATACTATTAGTTGGTGAAAAAATATGACTTATGCTTATAAGCCAAGCGAACAGGGCACGTACCGATTGAATGATTGGGTGGATCTGTGCTATGAGCAAATAGGGCCCATGGACAGCCCTGCCGCCCTGCGCCAGCTAATTAACCATTCGCGCGTTTTGCTTAAAAAAAATAACCATTCGCGCAAGCTGCTTGCCTGATTCTTTAGTTCTGAACATTTGCAGAGCCTGCAGAGCCCGCCCGCAACCTCCTGTCGACTTAGGGCATGTTTGATATTATGATCTAATTATTAGCTAGCTAATTTTAGCTTAAATTAGCTATAGTACATCCAAATATAAGTGTCAATTAACTAGCTAGCCAACCATAGCTAATTTGAGCTATTTTTAGACAAAACAGTAACAAAGACATGTATATCTAACACATGCCCTTACACAATTCCATCCTACCTACTATACGCCCATATGCTTAGCAGCAGTAAGATAGAGTTGTTGAGTCTGTGACGCCGTGCCGTATCACGTAGGCGCCGTGATCGAGCATGCTGGCACCTTCGACTCTCTAACTGAAGTTGCTTTGTTGCATGTCCAGCGAGCCCGCCTGCACTGCTTCGCTGTCCAGGCCACATGCGCACGTGCTAGGTCATCGCGTCTACCAGCACGAAGAGCTACTACTATGGTACCACGCATCGGTGTTCTCCACGACAAGATATTATACTCATCCACTCTCTTAATTGATGCACACGTGTTTGTTTCTTGTTCCTCTCTTCCTCCAATGACCGCTTATTCTTCCTCCGGCCGACATCCTAAACTCCCAAACTGCCCTGCCCGCCGCTGGTCTCCACCAACTCCTTGACCCCGCTACCTCACCGCCCTCACCCACCCCCGCTGCTCCTGCCCCGCCCTTCCCTACTCTCAATTGACTATCTCTCCCGCTACCCCGCCGTCGTGGTCGTCGGCAACCTCACCGCCCACCACTCACTGTCGCCCCGCCCTCCCCTAACCTTGTACTTGGCCGCCCCCGCAGCTAATCCCGCCCACCGGTTGTCTTCCCCTGCTCGCTCGACGGCGGCGGTGCCGCCTCGCTCACCCCCGGTTGAATTGCTTGGCTGCCCTCCCCCCCAGCTCCCTTCTTTAAGGCTGGAGACCTCCCTCCCCTAACTGTAACCAGAGCAAGAAGAAACGTCGCTGTCGGATGTCGTGGCTGCCTCCAATCCCGTGTCGACATGTGTCCATGTGTTGCACGCGCGCTCAGTAAGGATTTGGGCCAAAATAGCATAACCGTTGCCTTCTCAACAGTTGCCGCATGCCTGCCTCCAATCCCGTGTCAACATGTGTCCATGTGTCGCACGCGTGGTCAGTAAGGATTTGGGGCAAAATGGCATAACCGTTGCCTTCTCAACAGTTGCCGCATGCCTTCTTGGCCCAAGCCACCCTTCGTCGTTAGAACACAGTCATATGTTAGTTGATCGTGCCGAGTTTAAATCTTCTTCCGTAAATAACACTGACGTCCATTTAGGCTAGTCATCTATTAGTTGATCGTGTGGACTTCAGTTTATTTTGAGGGAGACGAAAATACCCTGTGGGCTGTGGCCGCAGTTACTCGCACGTGCCGCAATCGATGAAAATCTCCGTCTCCGGAGAAGAGGACGAAGGGGCGGAGGAGGCGTCGGCTGGCGGCGGCCAGGCCGGCCCGCGTGCGCCTGCCGCGGCACGTGGCTGTGGTGATGGACGGGAACTCGCGGTGGGCACGCGCGCGTGGGCTGCCGTCCGCGGCCGGGCACGAGGCCGGGCGCCGCGCGCTTGAGGAGGTGATGCGGCTCTCCCGCGCCTGGGGCGTTCGCGCGCTCACCGCCTTCGCCTTCTCCCACGAGCCACGAGAACCGGAGCCGGCCCAAGGTATGCTTCCCGCCCCCGCGCGTCATCGCCTTGTTTGCCTC